CTGCAGGATTGAGTGTGGAAAGCCTCTGCAGAATATTTATGTGTGAACATTAACATATATGTTTGTGTGTGTGTGTGTGTGTGTGTGTGTGTGTGTGTGTGTGTGTGTGTGTGTGTGTGTGTGTGTATGATTGTCTGAAGGTGATCGCAGGCTCACTGAGCACATTTAAATACTGTCTACCTGTTGCTGCGGAGAGAGAGAGGTTAATCTATGGAAATGAAGGTGAGGTGAGGCGGTGACATTTATAAAAAACCTCTTCCTTCTCCCTCTGCTCTCCAGCTGCAACGTGAAGTATCTCCAGAGGCGTCACGTGTGCATCTCCCGCCTGGAGAGGCCACAAAACTGGGGGGAGAACTGCTGCGAGGTCCGCTATGTCATCCTGATCCTCGCCCCATCCAAAATGGTAACTGCCGCCCCCCCGAGGGTTGGAAATGATACGGGGGGGATTTATGTCACTTTGCTGCATTACTGAGACATTTGAAGACCAACTTGTTTGGCATTTATTAATGTATATTCTTACATTATCTACCGTATTTGTCCTTGCCTTTAGCTACTACTCTCATTTAACTAAAATGTCCTTCTTTATGAATTTGCTTTTTAATTTCTTCAATGAATCACTAATAACGGACTGTGAAGAAATGTTTCTTTTATTTCCACAGCCAGTCTTTTCTCTATTAGCAGAAGTGTTATAGTCATGTAAAGTGTGTTAGCTGCAGGTGTATGGGTTTGTAAAGTCCATCTCACTGTAATCATCCCTAATTGATCATTTGCATACCCTCCTGCTTTCATCTACTGTAACTAAAAGGAACATGTGTATTAGTTCCAACTTTTAATGTTATTCTCCTATTGAAAATTCTGGTCCAGTCTGCCACCTGTCATGAGTCCAATTAAGTTTTGTTTGCTTAAAAGAATGCCCAGTTCTGCATGAAACTATTGAATGGATAAGGATCACTATATTTCTGCGTTTGCATATTTTCACACCCAAATGTGCAGACTAGTTTTCAACAGGATTGTATGGCTCCATGCCTCTAAATACCTGTTGTGTTGTTTCCTTCAAGAAGACCATAATCACATGTTAGAAACAATCATGTTGCGATGATGACAGTTTGGAAAATGGTTTTAGTAATTGAAACAGAAATGAACCACAGTATTTACATGACATGACATAATCAAACAATTAAACCACAGAATGCTACTACATTTATTTGAGAGGCTCTGTCAGGCTGTGTTATATGGGTGTAGTAACAGTGTAATTATGGTGTAATATGGGGGTCTTTTTGGTGTTACATGGGTGTAATATGGTTCTAATATTAGTGAAACGTTGATGTGATGACAGTGTAACAACAGTGTAATAACGGTGTATTATGGGTTTAAAATGGGTCTAATAACAGTGTAACCTTGGCTAATAAGGGAGTAATATGGGTGTAAGGTATCAAATCAATCAAATTTCCAAAAATATTGACTGCCCATTTAAGGGTGAAAGAAATATAAATCTTAATTTTAGGTTCATTTGCTTCCAGTTCTTCTTGCGTTTTATATTTCAATTCACTAAAATATAGGAAGTGCTTCTGAACGAGCAGCTAATCTGTCTGTTGAACTGAATCCAATCCAAAGCCCTCGCAGCGTTTTGTGTGGGCGAGAGTGTCCTGGCCGTCGGGTCACTGTTGAGCAGTATTGCTGTTTCTCCTTCAGCCTCTGCTGTTGCCAATGGAGATCCACATATCCTGTAATACAAACCCTTCTCTCCCATCAAAACAAGAACTATTTCTTCTTCCCATCAAACCACTCAACCCTTCTGTCCTCCACTGCTTCATCCTGAGCTTTTAACACACACACACACACACACACACACACACACACACACACACACACACACACACACACACACACACACACACACACACACACACACACACACACACACACACACACACAGAACGACACGACGACGACACGA